TTTGACTGGATATTTTAGCAAAGGATATCAATGGTAATAAGATATTCGGTCACGTCTTATACATGAGGCATCTATTTGAGAGAATAGCAGCCAGATGAAACATGGATAACGAAAATAAGATAAATAAATCGAACAAAAGCAACGAAAGAAATTGCACAGATAGAGACAGTACTAATGTTTACCATTTTAGTGGAAGCTGATCGTACTCAAGCCAGACTCGGTTCTCCATCCAGGCTAAGGAAATTAACTGGCGCTGCTTCAACGCCATTGCATCGGAACGACTTACTGGCAGGGAGGGCATTTGAGCCAGTGCGTCCAAAGCATTTTCGCCAGGCACCGTTTCGCTTGAAACATTGTGAGGGACACCTCCGATGCCACCAGCACCGCTAACTACACTACTACAGCTAATTACGGTGTTGGGAGGCAGGCCATGTTTGTCACTACCGCTAGAGATGCTGCTGGTGGTATTGACATATAAGCTAGGGTCCAGTCCGACTTCATTGGCCTCGGGTCCGGATAAGTATTGACTGAACTGGCGAAGAACTTTCTCTAGGACAAGGGGGAAGTAGGTAACGCGAGGTACCATCAGCTGGAATATGGTTGAACAAAGGGAAGCAGAACACAGCAAGAGTGCGAAGGAACATACGATTAATAAGCTAAAAGGTTCGTACAATGCCAACTTGACGTTATTATTGGAGGCAAGTTACTGGACTATTTATTGATACAGAAGACACCTGATTATTTCAAGTAGGATCACTTGTTGTAACTTTAAAAATCAATTTCATAGGCTCCCTCGAATAAAATGACGGACTTGAAAGCTTTATCGGAATAAAGTCCAATCGCTACCCAGAAGCTACTTGTCCTGTTTAACTTGTATACACAATTGAGAAGATCGGCGGAACATATGCCTGATCAAAGATAGCGTGAAAAATATCAAATTATAAAAGCAAGGGAAGTAAAAAATTGACATCTATGCCATTTTGAGCTTATATGAACACGTAAGAGGTAACTTTCATCTGCAATAAAGACAATAAAGGTTGAGATTTGGAGCAAAACGGTCCTGAATATACTTAAACTCAGTTTTAGTTTATTGCAGATAGAAAGAAGCAATCATTCAAGGAATCTGGTCAATAAAAGAGAGAGGGTCCAGGAATTTATGTTAAGAATACTTTATCTAAATCTTCATGAAAATAGAACAGTGTTGGCAAAAGTCCCGATATCCTCAATGCATCGTCTTGGTCATAAAACTGGTTTGGTATGCCATAAGCGATATCAAATCTATGAAAACCACGTTTTTGAGATGAACGAGCCCTAGCAGCAATGGACACTTTGGTCATTGCTAGTTGAGAAGCCCACAAATAACTTTATCAACTAAATTTCACTTAGATTAAGTTGCAGCTCCAAGTCTGCCAATTTTTAATCGCAGTCAGTAATAGGAATGGAAGCCTTAATGCGAGAGTTCAAAGACAGACTTCCTATACCCTAGTCTGCTGTGTACCAATCCACAAATGTTGTGGATTTACATTGAAGCTAATCAAAACAAGTAGAATCACAACATTTGTGGGTTGGCACACAAGAGAATAGGGCATAGAAAGTCATAGACTTGGCACTATGGTAGAACCACAATAGATGCAGCGGAGACTAGAGTTAGTTGGCTAACAGTAGACGTATTTGATCATAGACGTGGCCCATGAAACAAAGGTTTGACCATGAGAATTACGATGCCGGCGAAACGTCTGGGAATGTACCAAGTACACGGTCCGACTCTAGAAATTATCAGGCTATGGACTCCGGACTAGATGTGTTCCTCCAGGTCTTCTTACCAATATGATCAAGTTGCGAAAACAAGGTCAAACAACCTACATACAACGAAATGAGACTGCGACCATACAAAAGGCTACACCATCTTGATCTTCATACCTTCGATGAAACCATAGATTTTTATTCTATTTTCAAGATCGTGGAGATTAAATTTAAGTAATCATAGCGAAACAAACAAATGAAAAAAAATTAGCATAGACCCAGCTCCAAATAGTTAAGCTTCCAAGCTTACGACCTCGTCTCTTAGGTAGCACCGAACTAGTTACGCAAAAATACCTAACATTTTAGTAAAATGAAACTAGAACTCACATAGTAAGGAGGTGGAGCGAATTCACTATCTTGCAAATCTTCCGAGGCAAGGTTGAAACAGACAGGCAGCTTTCCTTCCCAAACCAGTTTAAGAACTTCGCAGTCTTCAGCCATACGGAAGAGGGCTCGTTGAATTTAGATGCTAACAAATAATATAGAGAAAATACAGCTGCAGCAATGTGATCAATCATATGCACGAAATTAAGAATCGAATGAACAAAAAAAAAGTTTAGAATATGCACAATTTATATACAAATTATATACAAGACATGGATATCGACGATGCGAAAGAGGAAGTAGCAAGATTAGAAGAGAGATCAGTCTTTGCAGCTATCATTATCTGAAGAGGTATCGGTATCTGCATAGCCAACGAGAGATGTCGACGCATGCTGAAAAAGTTCAGAACTGGTTTTGTGCTCGGAATGCATGGAAGGGAGGGAGCCGGAAGACGATTCAGCCAGATTGACGGCTGAGCCAGTCAGCAACTTGTCTGACTCCGGGTCCATTATAGATCGGAGATATACTCCGCTCGTTCCATCTGTTCTAAGGCTGCCAGGTGCGAGATGATTGGCTCTAGGTGCTTTGGGCTCAAAAGCAGCCGCTCGTCGCTCCATATTTAGACTAATTAGCTTAGTACGTAAAGCGCTTTGCAAATGGATTTCCATCGGAGCAGGAGATGTTGAAGGATGCGTGTGTAAGTAATGTCTCTGCCGAGGCTCTTGTGATTGTGGAGAAACAGGGGACGCCGCAGGCAAGGATGAAGAACGGGCAGATGATAAGTCCTTGTTGTTAGAAGGAACTGATCCAGTAACGGAAGAACTTGCTTTGCTTGATGCTGCAGAGGAACCAAATATGAGGTGATTTTCAAGGCGGCGGCGTTTATATTCAGCTGGAGTGCAAGCTTATGAGGAAAAGAAGCCAGCAAATGAAGGGTGTTTAAGATTTTAATATTAACGAGCTTTACATAGGGATTAAGCATTATAGTAAATAATATAATAATAGAATGTAATAAAGGATCAAGCAATACGATTATGAAAAACCCTATTGTAGATACAAAGAGTGACTGGATTTCGATGAATCTCAGATAACATTTTTCGATATTTTCATTTTGTATGAAAGCTCACGAAGAAGAGATTCGAAGGTCGATCTCACCAGAAGAGGAGGGCTGATTCCTGTTGTTGTACAGCCGTTTGGCTTTACTACGACGTTTAGGTTGACGCAGTCGAAGAGACATCTTACCTCGTTCCAGGTGAAAACGGGCTGAGCTTTCGTCCATCATATAATGAACATCCTCAGAGCTGGAACTCGTTCTTATATAAGTCTCACGTTAACACTATGTCAAAAAGACTATCCAGATCTATCTTACCTCTTATACATACTCATTATTAAAAACGAAAATGAATAATCTACCGAGGTCCATTAATAGAGAACTTGATCAGGTATTTTGTGGTTTGGTTAAAACAAGGCTCAAGGAAAGCATTAATAGACTACACTAAATAATTCGAACCAAAACCAGGCTTAGACAATCCCCTTGAGGTACTGACTGATGTGGATTTCATTAAGTTACAGGATATGGTTGACAGGTTAGCAGAGGCCACGGATAGAATAACTAGGCGGATATATGACAAGCTTCGGAGCTTGAAAATTAGAATTAGGACTAGAAACTTTGCACCTAAGGTAAGTGGTAATAACCATGTTTGTAGCACACTGGGAAAGAATAAGGTAATAAATTTATCCAGTATAACTCTGGAGGATAGTGTAGAACTTTTATTGGTAAGATTGAATTTTGCCCTGCTAAATGAAGTAAACCACCCTATGAACACACTTTTTGAATTAATTAGCTTATCTGAGATGAAGAATAGTATTGAGTTAGAAGTGATTACTCATTTTGACCAAATAATCACGCCAAAA